ATCCGAAATTAATAGGTGTAAGAAATTGGACAATTTATGTTCAAAGGAATTTCGTTCCTAATCGGAGTGGTTGGTGTATTCCATTGCCCTAGAGATCGGATTTCACTCAAAACTAGCCAAATGATTCCTCCCACCACATTATGATGTTGCCCAAGTTTTGGGCTCGATCCGAAATCAATAGGTGTAAGAAATTGGACAATTCAAGTTCAAAGGCAGTTCGTTCCTAATTGGAGTGGTTGGTGTTTTGGGTAGTTCTAGAGGTCGGATTTCACTTTAACTTAACCTAATCACTCCTCCCACCATATTACGATGTTGCCCAAGTTTTGGGCTCGATCCGAAATCAATAGGTGTAAGAAATTGGACAATTCAAGTTCAAAGGTAGTTCGTTCCAAGTTGGAGTGGTTGGTGTTTTGGGTAGTTCTAGAGATCGGATTTCACTCAAACTTAACCAAATGATTCCTCCAACCACATTATGATGTTGCCCAAGTTTTGGGCTCAATCCGAAATCAATAGTTGTATGAAATTGGACAATTTATGTTCAAAGGCAGTTCGTTCCTAATCGGAGTGGTTGGTGTATTCCATAGTTCTAGAGATCGGATTTCACTCAAAATTAACAAAACGACTCCTCCCACCATATTATGATGTTGCCCAATTTTGGGCTCGATCCGAAGGCAGTTCATTCCTAATTGGAGTGGTTGGTGTTTTGGGTAGTTCTAGAGGTCGGATTTCACTTTAACTTAACCTAATCACTCCTCCCACCATATTACGATGTTGCCCAAGTTTTGGGCTCGATCCGAAATCAATAGGTGTAAGAAATTGGACAATTCAAGTTGAAAGGCAGTACGTTCCTAATTGGAGTGGTTGGTGTGTTGGGTTGTTCTAGAGGTCAGATTTTACTCAAAACTAACCAAATGACTCCGCCCACCATATTATGATGTTGCCCAAGTTTTGGGCTCGATTCGAAATCAATAGGTGCAAGAAATTGGACAATTTATGTTCTAAGGCAGTTCGTTCCTAATCGGAGTGGTTGGTGTATTCCATAGTTCTGGAGAATGGATTTCACTCAAAACTAACCAAATGACTCCACCCACCATATTATGATGTTGCCCAAGTTTTGGGATCGATCCGAAATCAATAGGTGTAAGAAATTGGACAATTCAAGTTCAAAGGCAGTTCGTTCCTAATTGGAGTGGTTGGTGTTTTGGGAAGTTCTAGAGATCGGATTTCACTCAAACATAGCCAAATGACTCCTCCCACCATATTATGTTGTTGCCCAAGTTTTCGGCTCGATCCGAAATCAATAGGTGTAAGAAATTGGACAATTTAAATTCAAAGGCAATTCGTTCCTAATTGGAGTGGTTGGTGTTTTGGGTAGTTCTAGGGATCGGATTTCACTCCAAACTAACCAAATGACTCCTCCCACCATATTATGATGTTTCCCAGGTTTTGTGCTCGATCCGAAATCAAAAGGTGTAAGAAATTGGACAATTCAAGTTCAAAGGCAGTTCGTTTCTAATCGGAGTCTTTGGTGTATTCCATAGTTATAGAGATGGGATTTTACTCAAAACTAACCAAATGACTCCTCCCACCATATTATGATGTTGCCCAAGTTTTGGGCTCGATCCGAAATCAATAGGTGTAAGAAATTGGACAATTCAAGTTCAAAGGCAGTTCGTTCCTAATTGGAGGGGTTGGTGTTTTGGGTAGTTCAAGAGATCGGATAGCACTCAAACTTAACCAAATGACTCCTCCCACCGTATTATGATGTTGCCCAAGTTTTGGGCTCGATCCGAAATCAATAGGTGTAAGAAATTGGACAATTCATGTTCAAAGGCAGTTCGTTCCTAATTAGAGTGGTTGGTGTTTTGGGTTGTTCTAAAAATTGGATTTCACTGAGACTTAACCAATTCACTCCTCCCACCATATTATGATGTTGCCCAAGTTTTGGGCTCGATCCGAAATCAATAGGGGTTAGAAATTGTACAATTCAAAATCAAAGGCAGTTCGTTCCTAATTTCAGTGGTTGGTGTTTTGGGTAGTTCTAGAGATCGGATTTCACTCAAACGTAACCAAATGACTCCTCCCACCATATTATGATGTTGCGCAAGTTTTGGGCTGGATCCGAAGTCAATAGGTGTTAGAAATTGGACACTTCAAGTTCAAAGGCAGTTCGTTCCTAATTTGAGTGGATGGTGTTTTGGGTAGTTCTAGAGATCGGATTTCACTCAAACTTAGCCAAATGACTCCTCCCACCATATTATGATGTCGCCCAAGTTTTGGGATCGATCCGAAATAAATATGTGTAAGAAATTGGACAACTCAAGTTCAAAGGAAGTTCATTCCTAATCGGTGTGGTTGGTGTATTCCGTAGTTCTAGAGATTGGATTTCACTCAAAACTAGCCAAATGACTCCACCCACCATATTATGATGTTGCCCAAGTTTTGGGATCGATCCGAAATCAATAGGTGTAAGAAATTGGACAATTCATGTTCAAAGGCAATTCGTTCCAAATTGGGTGGGTTGGTGTATTGGGTAGTTCTAGAGATCGGATTTCACTCAAACTTAACCAAATGAATCCTCCCACCATATTATGATGTTGCCCAAGTTTTGGGCTCGATCCGAAATCAATAGGTGTAAGAAATTGGACAATTCATGTTCAAAGGCAGTTCGTTCCTAATTGGGGTGGTCGGTGTATTGGGTAGTTCTTGAGATCGGATTTCACTCAAACTTAACCAAATGACTCGTCCCACCGTATTATGACATTGCCCAAGTTTTGGGCTCGATCCGAAATAAATATGTGTAAGAAATTGGACAACTCAAGTTCAAAGGCAGTTCGTTCCTAATTGGAGTGGTTGGTGTTTTGGGTAGTTCTAGAGATTGGATTTCACTCAAACTTAACCAAATCACTCCACCCACCATATTATGATGTTGCCCAAGTTTTGGGCTCGATCCGAAATCAAGAGGTGTAAGAAATTGGACAATTCAAGTTCAAAGGCAGTCGTTTCTAATTGGAGTGGTCGGTGTTTTGGGTAGTTCTAGAGATCGGATTTCACTCAAACTTAACCAAATGACTCCTAACACCATATTATTTTGTTGCCCAGGTTTTGGGCTCGATCCGAAATCAATAGGTTTAAGAAATTGGACAATTTATGTTGAACGGCAGTTCGTTCCTAATCGGGGTGGTAGGTGTATTCCATAGTTCTAGAGATCGCATTTCACTCAGAACTAACCAAATGACTCCTCCCACCATATTGTGACGTTGCCCACGTTTTGGGCTCGATCCGAAATCAATAGGTGTAAGAAATTGGACAATTCAAGTTCCAAGGCAGTTCGTTCCTAATTGGAGTGGTTGGTGTTTTGGGTAGTTCTAGAGATCGGATTTCACTCAAACTTAACCAAATGACTCCTCCCACCATATTAAGATGTTGCCCAAGTTTTGGGCTAGATCCGAAATCAATAGGTGCAAGAAATTTGACAATTCGAGTTCAAAGGCAGTACGTTCCTAATTGGAGTGGTTGGTGTTTTGGGTAGTTCTAGAGATCGGATTTCACTCAAACTTAACCAAATGACTCCTCCCACCATATTATGATGTTGCCCAAGTTTTGGGCTCGATCCGAAATCAATAGGTGTAAGAAATTGGACAATTTATGTTCAAAGGCAGTTCGTTCCTAATCGGAGTGGTTGGTGTATTCCATAGTTCTAGAGATCGGATTTCACTCATAACTAACCAAATGACTCCACCCACCATATTATGATGTTGCCCAAGTTTTGGGATCGATCCGAAATCTATAGGTGTAAGAAACTGGACAATTCAAGTTCAAAGGCAGTTCGTTCATAATTGGACTGGTTGGTGTTTTGGGTAGTTCTAGAGATCGGATTTCAGTCAAACTTGACCAAACGACTTCTCCCACCATATTATGATGTTGCCGACGTGTTGGGCTCGATCCGAAATCAATTGGTGTAAGAAATTGGACAATTCAAATTCAAAGGCAGTTCGTTCCTAATTGGAGTGGTTGGTGTTTTGGGTAGTTCTACAGTTGGATTTCACTCAAACTTAACCAAATGACTCCTCCCTCTATATTATCATGTTGCCCAAGTTTGGGGCTCGATCCGAAATTAATAGGTGTAAGAAATTGGACAATTTATCTTCTAAGGCAGGTCGTTCCTAATCGGAGTGGTTGTTGTATTCACTATGCCAAATTTCACTTTCAGCAACTACATAGGCATCGGTAAAATGAAAATCGATGCTATTAGAACATCAGGCATCGATTTTATAAATAACGATACTAAACAGGTACAAAGACATTAGTAGGAAGTTTTGGTTTTTTTTGACGATGCCTTTGATTCCCTTTAGCATCATCTCTCATAATTATAGATGCCTAAAGTGATTTGCCTTTTTTTTTTTTAAGAGGGACATTTTTTAAAAAAAAGCCACCGATGCCTAAAGGGTAGTCAACGCTAGTCCAAAATTTTTCACGCTCTCCCTCTCAAACTCTTGCCCTAACTTCCATCTCCCTCTCAATTTTTTCAATCCCTCTCAAACTCTCGCCCTAACTTCCATCTCTCTCTCAATTTTGTACTCTCCCTCTCAAACTCTCTCTTTCTTCTCTCTCCTCCATCACTGCTTCTTTCTCTCTCAGATGTTCCGACCATGGCCGGTGCTTTCCTCAGGACTAAAGCCCAGCCACCCCTGCCCATTCCTCAGCCGCGGCGAGCTTCAAAAGGTCGCCTTTGGTGCAAGAGAAACCTTTAAATTGTAGTAGTCTTTCTAGTTTCTCTACTGGACACCTTTGGTGTGATGCTAGAGAAACCTTTAAATTTTAGTAGAGTCTTTCTAGTTTCTCGTTTTTCTTCCTATATGTTCCCATAAATGTTAAATCTGCTTCTTCAGATTTCATGCTCAAAGAAAAAGTAGATATCTGGGATTTGGGTTGACAAAAGATTGAGTTTCGCAGCTCTTCGTCAGCAGTATTCTCTCGTTCCCTTTCTTTCTCTCAAATCTATTTTTAGGGTTTTTTTTTTGTTTAAAACGCTTGTTTTGATTCTTGGGTTTATTGCTTAGGATTATCATCGTTCACTAATAATGAACAACCCAAGAGACTGTTTTCTCCTTTTGGAGATGTTACAGATGGTATTTCTACTTTTCTTATTAATTTGCTCTGATTAATTATTTATTTTCTTCTGTAATTTGTGGAAATTACTGACTGATTTTTACCTTTGTGATGATTTTTTTTAACTGTATGTTTAGCTAGAATGGCTGTGGACCGTATAACTCAAAGACCCAAAGGATTCGGTTTTGTCACTTACAAGTCAGATGTTGAGGCACAAAAAGCTTTGAAGGCCATGAATGGCAGGGTAATTTCCTTCTTCCCTATGGTTAAAATTTTTAATTTTATTTTTATAAAAGGGCAGGCCTCCTTGCTGTGATAAAGAAGGGGTCAAGAAAGGACCTTGGACTCCTGAAGAAGATATCATTTTGGTCTATTACATTCAAGAACATGGTCCTGGAAATTGGAGGGCTGTTCCTACCAATACAGGTTTATTTTCTTTCTCTTCTGTTTCTTCTGTTGCTTTTTGTTTGAGTAAAAATATACTTGGTTTTCACTTGATGTGCCAGTTTTGTTAGCTTCTGTATAATTTTGAGATGAAAAGGCAGGATATTTCATTTTGGAGCTGCATTTAAATTATTAAAAGTACAGCCATTTTGGTATTTTGTTAGTGAAGCATTAGGGTGCGGTGATCGTACTATTTTGGCATTCAACTAACACATCTTTGTTCTGATTTGGTAAATTGACTCATATTATAATTGTTTTTGTGCCAAATTGCAGATCATATACCCCTTATACTTGCGCATTCTAATCTTTTATGTACTGAATATGTGTTTTTCGTTGATCAAATTTCCTAGTCTTTGTTTTTGTCATATGTTTTTAAATTGTATTTTTTTGTGAACACCTTCAGTCTTGTTTTTCTCTTTCGAAGTTTTTGTTAAAATTTGTCCAGATGGTTGATGGGAGGCTGATTTTTGTTGAAGTTGCCCAGAGTCAAAAACATGAAGAGCATACCAAATCTAGATAATGACCTAATTTTTTCTCTATGTTGTTCAAGATGGG